TACTCAGGTGGCAGAGATCAGAAGGATTGTGATTCAAGGTTAGCCCAGGTTAACTATTAGTGAGATCTCATTTCAACCAACAAGCGAGGCATGGTGTTGCACCATTTAATTTCAGCTTCGTGAGAAGATCACCACAATCTAAGGCTAACTCTGAGCAAAAAGAAAAGAATTAAAAAGCAAAACCCCTATGTAAAAGCAGCTAAAGCAATAAAGGGAGTGGCCCGAGTGGTAGAGCACCTGCTTAGCAAGTGTGAGGCCCTGAGTTTAATCCCCAGTACCACAAAAATAAAATATACCTCAATGATCCAGTAGGATTCATCTCATGTTTGCAGAAATGGTTCAGTATATGCAACTCAATAAATTTGATGCACCAAAATAACTGAATGAAGGACAAAACATGATTGTCTCAATAGGTAGAGAAAAGGCATATATTAAAAATCAACATTTCTTCATGATAAAAATGCTGAACAAATTAAGTATAGAAGGAGCATAGCTCAGCATAATAAAGGATGTTTATAATAAGCCAATAGCTAACACTATATTGAATGGCAAGGATATCCACTTTCATCACTTATTCCACCTAGTTCTAGAAGTTCTAGCCAGAGCAATAATTAAGAAATATAAATAAAGGGCATCCAATTAGAAAAGAAAAGATCAAAATGTCACTCTTTGTAAATGATATGGTCTTATATATAGAAAATCCCCAAAAGTCCAGCAAAAAAAAAAAAAAAAACCTGTGGGAACAAACAAATGAATTCAGCACATTTATAGGTTTCAAAATCAAACTACAAAAATCAGTAGAATTGCTATTTGTCAATAAAAAATTATCTGAAGAGATAATAATCCCATATGCAATAGCTACAAAATATCTACAAAGATGTTAAAGATCTCTACAGGATAAATTATAAAACACTGACGAAGAAAATTAAAGAGGACACAAAAAAGTCAAAAGTCATCCTTTTTGCAGGGACTCATAGAATCAATATTGTTCATTTGATCATATTACTCAAGGAAATTTATAGATTCAATGCAATTTCCATCAAAATACCAATAACATTCTTCACAGAACTAGAAAAAACAGTTCTAAAATTGATATGGAACCACAAAAACCCAGATAACCAAAATGTCTTAAGCAAAAACAACAAATCAGGAGACATTACACTGCCTGACTCCAAAGTCTACCCCAAAGCTGCAGTAATAAAAACAGCCTGGTATTGTAGATAAAAACCAACACATGGAGAACCTAGAAGAAAACCCACACATCTATATCTAATTGATTTTTTACATAGAACTAAGAACTACTGGGAAAAGGACAGCATTTTCAATAAATATGGTGGGAAAATTGGAAATCTATCTATACGCAGAATAAAGAAACTAGACCTCCTATCTCATATAGAAAAATCAACTCAACGTAGGTTAAGATTTAAATGTAAGGTCTGTATCAATGAAGTTACTTGAGGAAAACATAGAGAAGTTAATTTCAATAAATATTTAAGGACTAATATCACTCTTTCTCACAGTATTACAAAAAATTAAAGAGGAGGAAATATTTTCATACACCTTTTATGAATCTAGCATATCCCTGGGACTAAAAGTAGACAAACAAATTACAAGAAAAAAATGTAGGCCAATATGCCCTGATTAATATAGATGCAAAAATTCTCAAAAGAATACAAGTAAGCCATATTTGACCACACATTGAAAGGAACATACACTATGATCACGTGGGATTTATTACTGGAATGTAAGAATGGCTCAACAGGCACACTTAATGTGACATACAACTTTAAAAGAATGAACTATTTCTACATGCCAAAATTAAACTACCTGACAAAACATTTAAGAGAACATATCCTATTTAACAATGGTATAAAACATAGAAGCACAAATTTTACAAAGGAGGTGAAGCACACAGACATAAATTGTATAAATTGTTAATTAAAGAAATTGAAGTAGGCAAGAGGATGTACGGATTAGAAAATGATATTGTTTAAATGTCCTTGTTATTTAAAACAATTTATAGATTTAATAAAAATTGATTTTTGCCTATAATCCCAAAAACATGAACAAGAAAAACAAAAATAGATAAAGAGGATTACATTAAACTAAAAAATATTCTGAATATGTAAGAAAGCAATAAACATAGTAAAGAGACAATTATGGGAGAATAGAAATTAGAGAATCTAAAAACCATACATCTTTAAAAAAGGATTAATATTCAAAATATATAAGGAACTTAAACAACTAAATAACAAAAGAAGAAATAACCTGATCAGAAAATGAGCAAAAGAACTGAATAAACATTTCTCAAAAGAAGACATATAAGTAAATTGACCAAGAAGTATGTAAAAAATTCTGCACATCCTTATCATGAGAGAAATGGAAATCAAAACCACATTGAGATATCACCTCACACTTGTCAGAACAGCTACTATCAAATGGTGAAAGATAACAAGGAAGGAAATATAGCAAAGGAAACTTTTATACTCTGTTATTGGGAAGGTAAGTTGACATACCATGATGGAAAACAGTATGGAGGGTTTTCAAATATTAAAAAAAGACCAAAATACATTGAAGAATTATTCATGGCACTGAATAGGTATGTAATAAACCTAAGTACCCACTGATATATGAATGGATAAAGAAAATATTATATATATATGCATATGTATATATGTGTGTGTTTCCACTTTAATCAAGGTTGAAATGTAGTCAACCTTAAAGACAATTATAAAAGAAATTCATTAGTGACAATGGTAAGTGAAACAAGTCAGACACAGAAAGACAAACACTGCATGATGTTGTATGTGGCATCTGAAAAGTCAAACTCATAGAACAGAGAGTAAAACGGTGGCCATGAAGCCTGGGAGGGAAGGTACTGAGGAGATGTTAGTTAAATGGTGCTACAAGTTTCAGTTACACAGGATGAATAAGTCCTGGAGAACTATTGTAGAACATGGTGACTGTACTTAACCATCCTACAAATTTGGTGAAAGTAAATAAAAAATGGTCTCACCACAAAACAAAAAATAGTAAATGTATAAGGTGAAAAACGACATGATTGTACCAATCATTTCACAATATATATCAAAACACAATGTACACTGTAACTATATATAATTTTTATTTATAAATTATACCTCAGTAAAGCTGGAGATGGGCAAAAGTAGCTAATAATAAATCTCAGAGTACTGACGAATTCTTGAAATAGACTGATTCAATATAGAAAATAAGGGATAGAGAATTGACTGAAATGACTGCAATGTCTTTGCCTAGGCACTAGCTAGACAGTGATGTGACTCAACCAGAAAATAGGAGCAAAGTTGTGCACCATAAGAGGATATGGCTGGCTTGGGAGAGGACAACCTCCATTTTTAACTTAAGCTCTGTAATTGTACTAGGAGAGGTGTTCATTGTGTAGCATACAATAGTCTTGATCTCTGGACAGCTATTAGTAGACTCAAATAGAATAAAAACAAAAAGTGCTGATTAAATTTGGTAATGTGTATGTGATGAATATGAGAACATTCTTGGTGAAGTGATAAGAGGTAGAAGCCAGAATTTTGGTTTGTTTGGTTTCTGTTTTTGAGATAAGATCTCACTACGCAACTTAAGCTAGTTTTGAACTTGCTTTGTAGCCCAGGCTGGCCTCAAACTCATGATCCTACTGCTTCAGTCTCCTGAGTGTTAGGATTACAGGTGTACACCACTACACCCTGCTGTGTGTTTGTGTGCGTATGTGCGCACTTAACTACTTTGAGAAGAAGTATAAACTACTTTCTCTTTTCTTTCTTTTTTTAAAAATTCTTAGCTAAGAAGAAATAAAGATAGGGCACAGGAAAGGTCAAAAATGTTTGTAGGCTGATTTATTACCAGTAGGATGAGGAAGAACTCTAAAATGAAAGAAATGCTATATAAAGAAATTAGTACTGACATCAGACAACTTCAATTTGGGGTGGAAAAAAAAAGGAATTTTTAAAGCTATGAGCCAAAACACTAAGTCAATTAGGTCACCCTCAGAGTGAGTCTGCTATGGTAACACATTTTTCTTCCACATTTCAAGTTTGTTTCTGCTTCATTATTTTTTTCTTACCAAGGAAAAATAAACATTCCATCTGACCTTCAAGGTAGAATGTCCCCATGCTTTGGTTGCTTAAGAAATCTATAACACAGAGATTGGAAAAAGCTTTAAAGGAGTAATTTATCTCTAATACCTATATACCTCCTAGATGGAAGGGAGCACGGAACCTTAAGAACCATATACTGAAATAGAGACATGGTAAACCAGTGGGGTAGATGCTGCTGATGCTTTGGTAGGGGAAACATATCATTTTCAGCCACTGCCAACTTTGCACCCACAGGGTCCCATCTTACCATCATGATCAAAGACAAGGATGCATTTTCGGGAGGCACAAGGGAGTTAATCAACCTGGACCTGTGCTCAAAGAAAGCAGATCCTAATAAATACATCAGCACCTGGGGTTACTACCCTCTGCAGGCTGACCCCGAGTGCATTTTTCGTGGTTTCTTAAAGAATCCACACTGGGTCTCAGCCCCTGCTGTTCATGAGAATAACCCCCATATTAAAGCATATTTTATTGGCTTTTCTTCCTGCTCTATCTCATTTTCTAATTCCTCACTTGACCATTTTGGGATCTTCTCAACAAACTCCTTGCACACAACTATTTGTCTGAGGGTTTGTTTTAAGACAAATCCGCGTGAAAAGCCTGGTAACTCCTCATCCAGGACTCTAAGAAAACAGTAGGAAATCCTGGGCAGTAAGACAGGATTCTTGTGAACAGGATTCAGTAGGGTGGTTTTAGTCAAGTGACCCGAATATGAATCTCCCAAAATCTACCTGGGTGCGGCCAGGCTACGCCTACCTGTCTCAAGGCCTTTGACACAGGATGAGTTTGGGGATTATTGCGTGTGATAACCAACTCCGTAGGACTGCCCTTCCCTGCTAGTTCTCAGTTTTCCTGTTCATCTAAGGGGGTAAAATGACATCTTCTCCGCTGCACACGGCGCCTCTCCAACACCACCAGAGTCTCTTTCCTGCCCAGTGCTACCTTGGGATCCTTCTGGTGGCCCTGCTGTCTACAATCTGTGATGCCTGCAGTGAGCCACCAAGACATGAAACTATGGATCTCGTTGGCAGTCCTAGACCCCATTACAATGTTGGGGAACGAGTACTCTATGTGTGTAAACCAGGATACCAGCAACGGGCTTCTTCAACCATCATTACCACATGTGCTGCAAATGGCGTATGGACACCTCTTTCAAAGGATTCTTGCACAACACTATTCAAGTACAAAAGTCGAAAGCCATGTCCAACACAAAGTGACCCTGTAAATGGCCAAGTAAAACTCCTAAATGGAAGCTTTGAGGTTGGTTCGCAAATTCAATTTGTTTGTAATGAGGGTTTTTATTTAATTGGTAGAAGCATTCTAAAATGTCTGCGCAGTGGATCAAATGTATATTGGAGCTCTGATCCCCCGCTATGTGAAAAGATTTTGTGTGAACCACCTCCAAAAATAAAAAATGGAACATATTCCTCAAGTGACAAGGAGGTATTTGAATATCATGAAATAGTAACTTACAGTTGTGATCAAACATCTGGACCAGATCAATTTTCTCTTGTTGGAGAGAAACAAATTTATTGCTCTGGCAATAGAGCATGGAGCAGTGAGCCTCCTCAGTGTAAAGTGGTCAAATGTCCATTTCCAGTCGTTGAAAATGGACAACAAACTTCAGGATTTCAAAAGAAATATGCCTACAAAGCAAAGGTCATGTTTAAATGCAACCAGGGCTTTGTCCTTCACGGAAACGACATGATTGTCTGTGATGCTGATAATACATGGAAACCTCCAGTTCCAAAATGCCTTAAAGAGCCACCTTGTCCACCAACTTCAAGTACTAAGCCTCCAAATTCTTCCAAGCCTACAACTTCTGGTGTCTCAGGAGCACTTGACTTTCAGGATTTGAATGGATGGATCTTTGCTCTGACTGTTGGAGTTTTTTGTAACTTGTTGGAGTTACAGTAGTTTACATCTGCCTATACACCCGTCTTCAAAGCAGGAAGAAAGGGAGAAAACAAAGGGTTAATCTGAGTGTACCACTTCCCAGAAAATGCAATCAATGAAAGCAGAGAAAACTGCATGATTTTCACAAACTGGCTTGTCAGTTTAGTTTTTGAATCCTATTAAAATCTTCACACCCATAAGAGCTATTATATAGTTTTGCTCTCATGAATGCAACTGTTAAGTCATAATGATAACATTTTAATGTGGCCTGAGTAATTATCAGTCTTTGATGCTTTGAAAAGTATCTTTTGGGGTATGAACATATTACCTCTTTTCTCATAAATAACAGTATAGGGAAAGTCAACATAGTATCCTTGGTAGTACTAAGGTATAGAGGTTATTTTATAAAATCTGAAAACTTAAAGAAATTCAGCTCAAAATAAAATTATATTTCACTGATAAAGAAATTATTTTAGAACCTTTTTTATGCCAACTCATAAATTGAATGAATGCCAAGATTCATTCAATATATTTTATAAGTTGTTCATTGTAAAAAAGTCTTTGCAAATAAATTTACTACTTCAGTTCTTATCTATTAAAATGCAAACTATGAAAATTGGGTATATGGCCAATATTATTAGGAATTACTCTAAAAGTTGATAGAATAATTTTTGTAATGCCTTTGGTGATTTAAAGTTTATTTATGACACTGTTTTCCCCTCTTTAAACATCAACAAACCAGCCTAAGAAATCAGTAATAGTTCAGAATCATTTGCATACTTCTAAAATAAGAAGACTCTGAATCCATTGACAAGAATGTTGGTTCATGGCACAAACTGAATACTGAGGCCTTGTGTTTTCCCTAATGAGAATTCCATAAGTTAAGTAACCCACTTCAAATTCTGACTACAAGTGGCATTCTTTCCCTACTTAAACTGAGGTCTTAATTTAATTGTGCCATCTAAATGTAGGTAGTTTTTTGGAAATAAATTTTTCAGATAAACTCAAGTTGTGTCAAAATCTATTTGTCTTGTTCTTGCCAGAAGCCTTTTAGATTTGTGTATATCTTGTCTCATCTACTAAAAGGCAGAGTCAAAATTAAGCCATGTGTTTCAAAAAAGGAAACTCTACTTCTACTGTTTGCTCTTGGTCATGCTAAAAAATGAAAAAAGTAAGCACAGCTCAAGTAGTGTGTTACACACAGATGGAATAGATTCCCACACCACCCCCTACATGGGCAAGTATGCAAAGAGAAGGGACCGCCACTCTATTCAAATTGCATTTATATAAGTTGTGCTTTAAATTTTTAGATTTAGTAGCACAGTTGGGCTAGAGAAATGTTTACTTCATAGGGATATAATTGGGGAATCAAGAGTGAGTTGGGATAAATATTGGTTTACTGTATAAAGACATGGATATTGTATACTTGAAGTGTTACTTCTCTTTGAAATCTGGAGATACATTCTTCAGTAAGCTCAGAATTAAAGCTTAACATACCCATTTTTACATACTTCATAAGAAAGTAGCAATTTCTCAGAAGGCAGGAATAGCTATGCTCTAGTTTTGTTTAAAAAAACTAATTTAAGGATTATCAACCAAGAATTGTATGCTTAAAATAAATTTATGCTTATAGCGAATTTAAGTTTTTCATCCTGGGGATGTAGCCCAGTGGTAGAGTAGAGGGATTGCCTGGCATGCACAGGCCCTGGGTTCTATCCCCAGCGTTGCAAACAAATAAATAAAAAGTCAAATTTATTATTAGTAATTGAGATTTGTGTATGTGTAAATATATATTTTGTTTGTCAAATCATTTTTCAACTACTGAACTTTATGAACAAAATAGTTTTCTGTAAATATTTGTTTAGATGACAAGAAATGAAGCATATTTGAATTTAAAAAATTTAAACTGCAAAAATATATTTTCAGTAAAAATGAAAAATACCATAGATAGAAGCCTTAATTGGTCATTTTTTGAAAACTGTGTCTTCAAATCAGGTAAAAATAAAATTGTATATTTAGGGAAGTTTCAAAAATAAAATATTTTTTGCAAGTCCACGTTAGTGCTGTACAAATCTGATTCAAGGTGTTCGCTCAGAGGGATTTGTTTCCATCATGGTTTTACTCCCCTACATTAAGGTTCCTCAATTTCCAGAATTAATGGATTTCAGTATTTCCCTCAAACAAGGTTGTCAACCAGCTTAAAACTTCAGCAATAACTTAAAGTTTTGGGACAGAGACCCTATTAAAACTAAAAGAAAAAGGAATGAGGGAGAAGAAAAGAAAACATGGAGGGAGAAAGGAAAACATTTAAATGAAAGAGAGCTTGGAAAGAAACCAAAGGTATCAAATAAAAAAAAAATTGTCAATCACACTATGGACTTATATACTTTGTGAATTCCAAAAATATATGTAAAGTGATTTACATAAAGAGATATTTATTTGTTTTGTTGTTGTTGTTTTAAGACAGGGTGTCCCTATTTACCTAGATTAGCCTTGAACTTACAATCATCCTGCCTCAGTCTCCTGAGTTCTGAGATTACAGGCATGTGTCATCACTTATGGCTTTATAAAGTGTTCACAAATACACATAAAATGCTCATTATCACTTTATATCAAAGAAATAAACAAGATATAATATATAGGATAATCATAATTACATTAAATAAAAACATGGAAAAAAAACAGAAAGATATTAATAGTACTTTTCCAATCATTTCTGGGTTATCAAAGTATTATTCATTTTTCTAATTTTCTGATTTTTGTCAATTTTTAAAATGATCTATACATTATGCACACATATAATGCAAAAACTACGTGTGTGCACCTTTGCGTGTGTGTGTGTGTGTGTGTGTGTGTGTGTGTGTGTGTGGTAAGTAAATGTATTAGTTAAACTTGGTTTTACAAATGATGAAAGTGGAGTTGACACTCTTTGGCATCTAAGCTCCAGGTCAGGGTCTTAATACAGTTCACTCTTGGGCACTATGGCTCATTTCCTTTTCTGTTGCTGCCATTTGCAGATTTGGGCCTCCATTGCACTTTAGAGATTCCGTAAGGAAGATATGCAATTGTGGTATGCTTGTGATATAAATGACTCCCTTTCAATTCCTAACCTTTTCCTCCTTCTTCACAGCCCTTGTAAAGAAATACTGGTAGGTCAGGAAGTATATTTCTAGGCTTAAAATGTGTTTCTCCTGTTTCCAAACTAAACATGACAAGTCAGGATTGAACAACTCCCAGTGATAGCCTCTCTTACCAAGTAATACTGAGCTTGGTATATGTGTAACGTACTCATTTCTTTTGAAAGGGACTGAATCCAAAATTAAGAAGTACAGGTTAAAGGCTTTTTTTCTCTAAAATCAGGAAGACTTGGTTGTCTAAAATCAGAAGTAATAATTTCTGGGTGTTATCCTACATCCAGGCTCTAGAAGACTTTAACATACACAGTAAGTAATCTCTTTTAATAATATATATAACACACAAGGCCTAAAGCCCAGTGGGACTTACCACCAGCAGCAAGGGGAAGCTCTGAGTATCTATGTGAACATCAGCCCTCTGTTTCTACTGCAGAAGCAGCTCAGATGCCATGCATGTGTCAGGCATATCACCTGAACAAAAAAAGAACATTCCCACCTTTTTTTAAAATTACCCATGTAGGTTATAACATTTTGATTATTGAAGACAACATAGTATCTGACATATACTCATATTAAGGGAATGCTAAAAGCAAGAAGACAAAGGGAAAGAGAAGGTATGAAGAAAGGAGGAAAGAGAAAGAAACTTACTAGAGGCAAAATTAATATTTTTCCAAAGCATCCATGCAATTGAAATACATCACTCTGTTTGTAGTTGTGGGATGAATTCTCCCACATCACCCTTCAAACATTCTGGAAATGGCATCAGATTTTGTAAAGAACATGGTGCATTTTAATTCTTGATTAAGAGAACATTGCTCCTATGGGGAAAAGAGATAATCACAGGCATTAATGAAGGTATCTGGGCCCTCCTTGAGTACTAACGTCTAGATTGCTCACATTTTTATCTGCTTTTGAAAACTATTTCTCTACAACTGGGGACCACAGCATTTGTTTGTTTTTCCAAACTATATCTCCATTTTTACTTCTTACTGTTACTACTTTATAAAGCCTAAATGATAGAACTTTATAGAAATGACGTCACTTTAAAAGGCAGCTGTCCCACAATAAAAGAATATTGTTTCCAATTAACATTTCTGTGTGGCTCTTTATACATTTTGCTACTTTTACTGTACATTTAACTCAAAGCCACCTACGTTTAAAGTTCATATTAATACAAATTTGTCTGCCAAGAAAATTTAATTGAAAACAATATTATGATAGAACACTTTAAGACTGTATATAGCCTTGCCTTTTGGATGCCTTTTATCAGAACATTGAGAAATTCTGGGAACAGAAATGTATTATATAGCATCTGAAAATATGATATCCCCATGGATTAAAGGAAGGTAAATTTGTGTAGAAAAGGTTGCTTTCAGTGCTTGCAAAATGATTGCTAGCTCAAGGCTGAAACATAAATTTTAAAAGCTAGTGTATTTAAGTGGGAAGCAATCCACATATGATCCATAAAAAATATTAACACAAAGGAACACAGAACGTATGGTTCAAATGACAGGGATAAAAACTATAAGGAAGAAAGGGAATATAGGGAAATAACACAAGAGACTCTTAAAAATGTTCAGAATCATGAGAGACAAAATCACAAACTATAAACTTAGGTTATGCACCTTAGCACAGTCTTCAGTCAGCATTTGAATGGGTCTGATAACTAATGCTTCAATTCTCCTTTTCCTAATCTTACTAAATTGCTTCTAATTATAGCCCTCATTACCATGCTAAATGATTGACATGTCTCCCTTGTTTAGGTAGTGTGAACAATCTCCATGTGATTGTACAGACTCATCCTTAGTTGTCCCTGCTTGACTTTTTTTTTTTAGTTATCTCTTTTAGAATAGTCCAGGCAGTTCCTGACCACTATTATTGCTCTTC